AGCTTTGTAAACATCGGCATGGTTAAATTGACAACTAACCAACTTGAGCCGATTTTATAAATATATACTGTAAAATAAAATTAAGTGCTAAACATCTTATATGTAAGTTTACGTATATCTTTTCTTATTTAGAATATATGCGCTAATACAATTATTTATTAATCTTATTTAGGATCGAACTAACGACTTTTAACACTAAGAGCATAAATTCGATGATTCAAAATTTATCACATCTATATGATTGGTCGATTGATTAATAAAACATAGAAAATTCCTATCGTTATAGGTAACTCATGTAATTTTATGATGATTTATATTATGCCAAGGAAACATGCAGTCATTGATCGTAATAACTTGGACATGGCATCGCATACCACAAGAATCCACCCTTGATTATACGCAAGAGATAGAGAAAAAAATTAAATTTAAAACTTGATGTCCCCATGCCAGATAAGGATGCGCCTCTTTATGATGCTCTCAAGAAAGATATAGAAAAAATAGATATTTCTGAGCACAACTGGCGAAATCCGCTATCAAGTATGGTTATTTATATTAGTGAAGATGATTCGAAAGTTCTATGTTTTGCATACTCTTAATATAATCATATCGATTTAGAAGCCACGAGAGAATATGAAATGTAAACAAGCAAAATCTAGATAATAGTGACATCGGGAAATTTTTAAATTGTTAGTAATCAATTGACAGATGAAAATGTCAATCGATAAGCAGCGCCCCTGTCGAGTACCAGCGATACGGATTAGAATCGATTGACATTGGTTATATTTGAAATCGATTGCTTGTTTATCAAAGTTCTGTATTTGCAGCTTTTGCAAAAAAACTTGGATTTAACATCTGACGAAGTTATTTAAAAAAAACTTTTAGTTAATCGAGGCTTCTCTGAAAGGATGAGTAATCAAAAGTGATTGTAAGTAATTGTTTTAAATTGGTTACAGTATCTAATTTGTATTTACTCCCATTCAGATTTACCTAAACAAGAGAAATGTGCTAGTCTGCATATAAACTAAAAAACTCGTGTATAAAAAGAAATTGAAACATCTCACGTATACATATACTACATGTAGGGATGTTAAAAGTTCAATCCTTTCGGTCCAGACTTCGTAAACAAGGACTTTTTAGAAGTAGATCTAAGTCGAGTCCGTGCATGTAATAATCAAATAAATATCGATACAGTTTACCCTCGTTATAACGTAGTGGTCGGGCTGAGAAATTCTGTCCGTTATAATGAATATCCGCTATAGCGTTATATAACATAATAATAATAATTTTAAATTGTTTCAGAAAATTGCTCCGTTATAACGAGGTATCCACTATAACGCGTTATAACGAGGGTAAACGGTATAAATTATCCAATCATATGATCACAAATTGGAACAAACGACATGCATTTAGCCAATCATATGGATCACAAATTGGGTGCATTTGGACTTTGTCGGGACAGACTTGAGTCGGTCCTAAAATGTCCGTGGAAGTCGACTGAAGGACCGGGTTAGGCAAGCTTTTTAACAACCCTGACTACATATAATTTTATGCGCATATTATGCTATCACGGATATGCGCTAGCCCTATTGGGTATTATTGGGCTGTACCGGGCCCGTTTACTAACCCGACCCGGATCAAACATTTAATAAATCCGACCCGAACCCGGCCTATTTTATAAACAAAACTTTACAGCTGTTTTCATAAATTCTGGCAAATCTGGCAAAAATTGACCGACCGAATATCTGCCGATTCGATAAAAGATTATCACTGCTGAATAAAGCTTATCGAATCGGCAAATATTCGGTCGGTCAATTTTTGCCAGATTTTCCCGAATTTATGAAAACAGCTGTAAAATTTAAACCCGGCCCGACCCTGAAACACGTGGGTTTAGCCCGGCCCAATACAGACCCTAGCTAAAATACATCGATTAAAGTAAATTCACGAAATACACCGCAAAAGTAAACTGATTATTATATGCCAGCTTTATTGATACAACAAAAATAAAATAAGTCACAGACTAATATTACAAGATAAGGACACACTCTAGAAATTTGCGCATTTAGACAAAATAAAGGTTCGCTTCGGAATTAATTTTTCTATGATAAAAATGTCATAATTGGTTTGGGAAACTTTGTTATTCACAAAGCTATTTAATATAAAAAATGGAATGTAAATGGTTCTTCTTGTAATCGATCAAGAACTGTATTAAGAATGCATATAGGAATATAAGATTTATCAGTTAGTATAATAGGAAATATAGACGTAATCGCCCTTTCGATCGTCTTAAGAGTGAATCTTGAGTTGTCAAGGATCGCCACAACCCCGATAGCCCCGCTATTCTTGGGTTGAATGAGAGTCCCATCTAGCTTTCGAACGACTGAGGGAACTAATGAACATTATCTCTTAGTATTGTTAAAATACTTTATAATATAATATTATATTACCTATAGGACTTACATTGGAATACAAAATCGATTTCACGAATACGCGCGCGTATATCTATTCCTCCGTCGTTCTTACCACTACATAAACAATTATGTGAGTATTTGATCAACCAAGTATGCATCCTAGTTTGCCATTAATTCCCCAGGGCTAAGCCGATTGCGGGAACATTGGAAGCCAAAAGAAGATCGTTCAACTGCCGAAACAGTCGACCACGGTGCGCTTTCAATTCGTTTGGACCAATGTGGAACGTATTTTCGGATGCACAACGACTAGACAAACACTTAATGAGAAAAAAAACTCACCCTATATAAATAACTTCAAAACCGAGTCTTTCCAACAACTCAACTATTTCCAGTTCAACTTCTACAGCTTCCACCACAACAGCAACAACTTCGTATTCGGACATTTTTTGGTAGTAATAGAATGATGTTATAGTAGTAAGAAAACAATCCAACTTTAATATTAATTCGATATCACTTCTTTTCGCTAAGTAATGGTTTATATAAAAATCAAGAATATATTTATGCAGCACGTAGATCATTTCCAAGTTTAGGGATCGTTTAAAGCCATGTGCATCATGTGATACACGGCCAATAGGATTGTTTATTTTTATCAACCCGACGGAAAAAAAAACGACCAAAAAAAAGTGTAAACCCTAAAAAATAGAGGAAACGAGTATCTAAACCTAACTCGGGGCATTAATAAAAAATAAGGGCTGCCTTCACTCTAACTTAAATTTATAACTGCACATGGCTTTAAGTTTATACTAAACGCACCTGGCTTTAACCGACCCGCCTTAAACACAAAAATTATTTATACAAATTCTCTAATGTAGGGTGTCCAGAATTCTGCAATTTTTTTCCGTTAATTTTCGCACATATTTGTACGTACGAAATGATTATAAATACGTATTAGCGAACACTAATAGTCTTGGACTCTTTAAGCTATTATTAAATATTTTTGCTCAAGTGCTCGATATCCGTTTATTGTCTAACAAGATATACTGAACATCCCATTTCGCAATAGGTTTAACCAGTGCTTTTTTCCCGATAAACTAATTTTTTGCTACCTGGTTCCATGAAATACAATATAGTTTTTAATGGATAGGATTTACCCGTACTCATGGTAGTACAATGTACTACCGAGTGACACTTTTTATTTCTAATTATCTATTAATTTTAAAAATTAATTTATTAAATATATGTTTTAAATATCTTCAATCTAAAACATTTTATATTTATTATTTGAAATCTGTAACTATTTTTTATATTTAGTTTAGCCTAATTTTACATAATATTTATTAGTTATCTTATAAAATGTTTTTAGTAATTAAAAAAAATTTTATTATATAAATTTTCTTAAGTTCTTAATGAAAGTTGTAAAGACAAGTTAGTTAGTTTAAATTATAAAATTTGCTAAAATTGGATTAATATAT